GTTTGGGGCCTGGTTCTCCAATCAGCTCTGGCACCGTTTCACTGTGTGTTGTTGGAAGAGTCCGTCCCCCTTTCTGAGCTCAGCCTCCACGTCTGTTAGATAAAGTGGGGCAGGAAAGATGGGGGTGGGTAGGTGGCACTCCATCCCAGAAGACGGAAACCACGGGGTTCCAGGAACGACACCTGCCCTTCCCGAGCACTCGCGATGTGCCGGCCACCAAATGCTTCACCTGCACTGCCTCGTGTCCTTCTCGGCACAACCCGGTGAGGTCGGCACCGTGCTTACAGACGAAGAAACTGAGGCACAGCAGCTTCAGGCCGTCTCGCAAGGCTGGGGAGTAAGACAGAGCAGTAAAACATTGAGTTCAGGACTACCAAGTCAGCCCAAACCCAAGGAACCAAGAACCTAGACCAGAGGGGAAAGCAAAGGAGGGAGCTGTTATTCTGCACCTCTTTTTTCTTTGAAGGCGTTCGCCAGTACTTACGGTACTTGGACCCAGAGCACAGAAAACCGAGCCAAAAGCTGAACGGGGAGACCACACTTTTGGCCGTCCCCCAGAGCAGGGCAGGTAGGAAGTAGACAGCCAGAAAGGAAGGCACCTTGGTAGGCATCCGAGCTACCCTTTGAGCAGGGCTGTGCCTTACGGTAAGGACAGACCATAAACACCCAGTCACCAGAGGAGACAGGTGCGGCCCCAGCCACCAAGCGAACCAGGTGATGCGCCCCTGCTGTGCCTGCCCCACCAGGAGGGAACAACTTCCTGTCTGAATAAGCCTCAGCCAGAGCCTCTGCCTTCCTGCCATACCCAGTGTCCACGTTTACCACGCCAACGGACAGAACCCGATGACCAAAGAGAGAAAACAAACAACAGAAACAGACCCACCTGGTGTCCAGACGTCACAGGCAGAGACGCGGCCTTGAAAACAACTGTGATCATTAATTGCGGGAAGACAGATGACAAGATGGAGCATTTCGCCAGAAAACCACAACTTACACAAAAAGTACTCAGATGGAAATGCTAGAACTGAGAAATACAGTAACCACAATGAACGTAACACGTGATTTAAACATATTCAACTCGGCAGAAGAGAGGATGAACAAGGTAGCTGGAAAGATAATGTGCTTTGAACCCAACAAGAAATGTCAAGAAAGCGAACAACAAAGGGAGCAGGTGTTGGTGGAACAGAAGGACTAGCCACGGCCTCCTCGAGACCCAGGAGGAGGCAGAAGTCGGGGTCCTCGTGCTGGCTCCTCCGCCTCCATTTTGCTGTGTGACCTTGGGCAAGTCACTTGCCTTCTCTGGACCTTAGTTTCCTGCCCCAGGGAAATAAGCACAATTACTTGCCCTGTTGATGTGAGGCTCACGGGGAGGACGGCTGTGACAGCCTTAATTGGAAGTGCTGATGTTCCGCCCACCTGAAGTGTTCACGAGGTGCGAGGTCTTTCACCAGCACCGTAGTGAGCGGCTGTGCAGGAGCTGCGAGAGCGCCCCCGCCTGGTGGGAACTGCTGCACAGTTCAGCAGGCGTTTGCTCGACCTCAGAAACCCCGCACTGCTCATCCCACAGGTTTCCAGGCGTTTGAGACCATTCTCAGAGGCCCGTCATTGCCCCATCTCTCCAATGCCAGGGGAGCGGATGTTCATTAGGGACCCTCCGTAGGGAAACCCGTACTTCCTGAGTCCTTGAATGGGCTTTGGCATTTGTCATCCTTTTGCTGCTGGTGACGCCATTAGACTGTCACATACACTTTCTCTGTGCCTCCCCCTGCAGACAGGACAGGGAGCTGCCCCCATCCCTTGCTCTTTGTTTTGGGGAGCCATGGCTCGTTTGGCAGCACAGGTCCTTGGCCAGTGGAGTCTTGGCCCGGGTTCCGTCTCGGGGAGCCAGGGCTGGCGCGCCCGTGTGTTGCCGGCTGCCTCGCGTAATAGAGTCGAGGGGAGTCGTGCACACCTCCTTTCTTCCCTGGGGCGGGGGAGGGTGTTCCTGCCTTTCCACTGCAGTTTCGTCCGGTGCTTTCTCGAGCGCTAGTTCTTACTGCCCGGAAGCCTCTGGTAGGTGGGAGCCCAGGAGAACCCTGGCCTCGGAGACACGGCTGCCAGGGCGGGATGTGCCAGATGGAGGGGCGGAGGGTGTCGCTGCCCCCGACTCTGCAGCTCAGCCTCGCCCTCCGTCTCATGCCTCCCTGGTCACAGCTGAGAACACGCGTCTCACACGGAGCCAGGGCGCGGTGGGCACCTAGCCTCTCGCCCAGAACTGTATCTGATCAGCGAGGCTCAGCGGCCACCTGCTTAAGTGAACTTGTCTCTGCCCTTGGCAATGGGGTGCAGAGTTAGTAAGCTCATCATGGGCGCCACTCGTCACAAAGACAAACACAGTGTGACCCTGTCACTGCTCAGCTCAGACCCTCCAGTGGGCTCCGTGTCACTCAGAGAAAACCTAGTCTTGGGAATGGCTGCCACAGCTGCACCCCTCTCCCCAAATACATGCCTGCTCCTCTGCCCACCCCCACCCCCCACGCTGGTCATGCGCACCAGCCTCCTTCCTCCCAGAGGCACCGGGGCCTTACCAGTGCCCGGGAACCTCCCACACCACCTGACCCAGTGCTCAGCCCAGCACAGGACCCAGCAAATACATGGTGAGTGACAGATCCTACTTGATTGACAGCCCCGAGAAGTGAGCAGAATCTCTCTCATCAGCCCCATTTTCCAGGTAAAAGAATGGTTCAGAGAGGTTAGGTAGCTCGTTCCCAGTCACACAGCACATGGGTGGGACAGCCTGGGGAGAATCTGTCCTCTGACTCAGCCTGTGCTTTCTGGCTCAGGTCCCTGAACGGTCCGTCCTGCCTTTCCCTCCGTTCACGTCTGCCAAGCGTGTGCCAGGTGACGGGGCCGCAGTGAGTGGGGCTGAGCTTCTGACCTCATGGAGCTCCCCCAGGGAGGAGAGACGACTTAGTGAGCAGTACAGGCGGAATGGAGCCAGAGTGGGCGGGCCTCGAGGAGTCAGCGCTGGCACAGCCCTGAAGAATGAGCAAGAACCGAGCAGGGTGGGGTGGCTTTCCTGGACTGTAGGGACAGCCTGGGCAGGAGCCCAGAGGCAGGAGCAAGTGTGACCTGTGATTCAGTTGTGTTGCTTCAAGTTGCAAGTAATCTGCTTTACACAATAAAGGGGATTCATTGTCTCATGTCACTGAAAGGTCAAGCTGTAGGGTGGGCTGCAGGTGCGGCTAGATCAGGGACTTACTGCCGCTTGCCTAGTCCAGCCATCCCCCTTCGATGAGCAAGCAGAATGACCTACATGGCTCTGACCTCCACATCCAAACATCAAACGGACCAGAGCAAGAGAAAACTTCTTCTTCCATACAGAAGTCAAGCACTCTGATTGGATGGAATTAGGGCACCCCCCTGGACCGTCGTCCACAGTAAGGGGGTGGGAGCCCTCTGCTGGACAGGTGAAGGCAGAGAGAGCCCGTGCCGGTTAATCTAGCTCAGATGCCCAGCTGCCCCCTGATGGAGGTGTGGACATCTGGAAGGGACAGTGATGGTCACCAGAAGTTCTAAATACAAGCCATTTTGTCATGAAAAGTGGAAAGGGGAGCAGGGGGCCAGTCACCATTTTCTTGCCGACTGAGCCAAGGCGTTGAGGATGCTGTAGGAGTCACGACGTATCTTGGGGTCTGGATGTCTCCAGGCAAAGCACTTAATCTCTCAGAACCTAGTTTCTTCCCTGGACAAAATGGGAAACCTGTCCAGCTGGCGGTAGACGTTGAAGATTATCTAAGTAAATAGATTTGTAGGAGGAATGTGCCATCAGGCGCCGCTTTTTTTTTTTAATATTCTTACCCGAGGATATTTTTCCATTGGTTTTGAGTGGGAGGGAGTGGGGGAGGGGGAGATCAATGTGAGATGCATCGATTGATTGCCTCCAGCATGACCCCAACCAGGGCTGGGGATCTAATTGCAACCAAGAGACAAGCCCTTGACTGGGATCAGACCTGTGACTCTGGTCCGCGGGCTGCTGCTCCCAACCACTGAGCCAGGGCCATGGCCGGCTTTAAGGGGTCGCCCAAGAATATCTGTTTTTTGAAAAAGGAAAATTAAAGTTTACAATCGCCTGATACTAGAAGGTCAGCAGCTGTTGTTTTATCTTCATAACCAGTCTGTAAGTGGAGGTGCTAGTATCCCATTTTACTGAAGAGGGGACTGAGGGCTAAGAGGTTCCAGAAAGTTCCCCAAGGTCACACAGCTGGTAAAGCAGAACTTGAACCTGGCCCATCTCAGGTCCACTCTGTGGGACCGAGGGTACGTGGCAGAGCCTGAAAATGCCCGGGTAGACGGAAGCCAGGACAACCCCTAAGCATACCCTTTATGTTTTTGGTTTTTATAAATCCTTGCCAGAGGATATTTTTCTGTTTATCTTCAGGTAGAGTGGGAGGGAGAGGGGGAGAGACAGAAACATCGACCCGAGAGGGACGCAGCAACTGGCTGCCTTCCTCACGACCCCCACCAGGGCCGGGGACGAACAGCAACCAAGGCACGGGCCCTTGGCCGGAATCGGACCTGTGACTCCGGTTCGTGGGCCGATGCTCTACTGCTGAGCCAGCCCGGCCAGGCCCTTTGCACTGTTGGACTGGAACCACGAGGTGAAGGAGAGAGAACGCAGTGTCCCTCAGCAGTCTGCCCTGCGCCGTGCGGGCATCGTGCACGGGTTCCCAGACTCGGGGTGAACGCTTGCCTAGACCAGGTCTGGTTGCAGGAAGGGTGGGTGGGACCCCTGTATTCCTTACCAGCCTTGCAGAGTAGGCACTGGCCTCCTGCCGGACAGGCGCATGCACCACGGCTCAAGAGGGTGACACGCTCGTCGTCACCTGCCAGGTGGGCTTGACCACAGAGTGGAGGATTCGGGGCTTCATCCTGGAGGAGGCGGGGACAGAGCTTTGTTTTGTTTCTTTTCACTAGCAAGGTGATAGAATCCCATCCTTTCTTCCTCCGTCTCTGTGCAGATGACAGACAACCCTTGGTGCCTTCATCCAGTCCACTGCCCGACGGCCACATCTCCGGTGACCGCTGGTCAGGCTGAGTTCCAGTTAGGAATCTTCACACGTCACCCTTCCCGGAGGATGGTGACAGGGACAGCTTCCCTCTGTCCCGCACCGTGAACCTTCCTCCCAGGACCTCGCCTTGGAGGGACACAGTGCGGTCACGGAGATTAATGACCCCTCAACCCCTTTGGATGGGAAAGGAAATCACAGGTGTTCGGTTTGATTAGCGTTTCATCAGGAGGCGTTATCGGCTGTTTGCGGGTCGCTGACGAAGCCTGCTACTTGACTTCTGCAAGAGGCCGACTTCGTTCAAGGGTCCTCTCGCCCTGAGCGAGCCACTTAGCCTTCGAGGGCCACAGGGTGATGCCCTGTGCCCTGGGGTGACCGCTGCCAAGCGGAAGTGAAGCCGGCTGGCCGGAACAAGCCTTGAGGCCCCCCTGGGAGTCCCCGCCCCGCCTTGTGATTGAATCTCCATTTCTGGGATTTTTCTTCCAAGTTCCTCCTCTGTTGGGTGTGATTCCCTCCAGCCCATCGCCGGGAGCCCATCAGCAGAGCAGACATGGTGACCATGAGAAGGGCCCTCAAGGTCCTCACCCTCCTCACCCTCGTCATCTTCTTCACCTCCTTCTTCCTGAGCTACTCCCACACCATGATGACCACCACGTGGCTCCCCAGACAGATGGTCGCCGAGCTCCTGGAGAGTCTGAGGAGGCTGCTGACCCTCTCGCCGCGGCCCTGCGCCTGCGCCCGCTGCATCCGCCAGAAGCACGCCTCGCCGTGGTTCGACAAGAGGTTCGACGGGTCCATGCAGCCGCTGCTGACGGCGCAGAACGCGCTGCTGGAGGAAGACACCTACAGCTGGTGGCTGGTGAGCGGGGGCGGGGCGGGGGCGGGGCGAGGGGCCCTTCCAGCAGCCTTGTGAGAATCACAGTGTTGGTCATTCATTCGTTCGTTCAGAAACCACTTATTGGGGATCTGCTATGTATGGATCGGAGCAGAGGGTTCTGCAAGGACACCTGGTCCTGAGCATGTCTCAGTGTTGGGGTGCACGGGGGCCCTTCCTGGTGGAGACCTCCAAGAGGGTTCCTGAGGGGAGCTTGGCTGCAGCGTGGGCCCCACACCAGCAGCGGCAGCCCCGTGACCTGGCAGCCTGTCGGACGGGCAGAACCCGGAGCCCAGCCCGACCGAGTCCGGGGCGGCACAGTAGCCAGAGCTCAGGTTGTTACCTACTCAGCAGCCGGAGCTGCCCCGGGAGGGCTCACAGCAGCGGGTGCTCAAACCTGGATTGTTGGTTTACTTTTGCTGTTAGGAAATAACAGTTATTATCTATTAACAGTTACATTAAGTGTCCATTTCAGTGGCATTAAACACATTTGGAGTGCCATGTAACCGTTACACCATCTATACCCAGCACTCTGCCGTCATTCCCCAGCACGTACCCCCCCAGCCCTGGCAGTCACCGTTCTCTCTCTGTCCACCACGTTGACCCCTCCAGGACCCTCCTATACGTGGAATCACGTGGTATGTGTCCTTCTGTCTGGCTTATCACACGAGGAGTTTTTTCAGGATTCAGTCACACTGTAGTATGTATCAGAATTTCTTCTCTTGTGGCCGAGTGATTTCTGTGGTATGTGTGACCACGTTTTTACATCGGTGCGCCCGTCACTGGACCCGTGTCTGAGCCCTCTCCCCGCCCGGGGCCGCACCGCCGGGCTGACCTGTCCCCCCTGTCTCTGCCCAGAGGCTTCAGCGGGAGAAGGAGCCCAGTAACTTGAACGACACCATCAAGGAGCTGTTCCGGGTGGTGCCCGGCGACGTAGACCCCCTGCTGGCGAGATCGCCCATGGGCTGCCGGCGCTGCGCCGTGGTGGGCAACTCGGGCAACCTGCGGGAGTCCTGGTACGGGCCGCAGATAGACAGTCACGACTTTGTGCTCAGGTGAGTGCCCGGGCCCTCTCCCAGGCCCCTCTGCTGCGTCCAGGGGCCCCCGGGGCTGAAGGAGGCATCCAGGCTCCGGGCTGGGAGATCAAGGTCCCAGCCCAGCTGTGCCCGGATTTTCTTGGGGACGGAGGCCCTTGCTGCACCCTCTGGGCCTCAGTGTCCCCATCTGTGCCCTGCAGGATGCAGATGGAGTCACAGCGCCTCTCCAGATGCCGGGGCGGGGGGGGGGGGGCCCGGCACCCAGAGTTCTGGCGAGATGCCAAGATTAATTTGAAGACTCTCATTTAATTTTTAAAATTCATCCCATTTTGCAATCGAGGCCATAATATAACTGCATACTTTTATTTATTTAATTTTTATTCCGAGGATGTTTTTCCATTGGTTTTTAGACAGAGTGGAAGGGAGGGGAGGGAGAGAGAGAGAGAGAAACCTCCATGTGAGAGAGACACACCGATTGGTTGCCTCCCACATGACCCGGACCAGGGCTGGAGACTGAACCCCCAACTGAGGTGCACGCCCTAGACCAGAATGGAACCCGTGTCTCAGTCCAAGGGCTGACGCTCTGACCGCTGAGCCGAACTGGCCAGGGCCGGAACTGCTTCTGATGTCAAGTCTGCTTTCCCATCACCAAGGAAACGGGTAACCCAGGAAGACGCGTGTCTCTGGGTTTCTTGTCGTCTCCATCCGCTCCACCCAGCAGGGGGACGCGAGCGGCGGCGGGCCCCGGGACCTTCTAGGGTCTCCCTGTTCCCGGGGCCTCTGACTGTGTCCTCAGACCACTCACCTGGCCTCTCCGGGCTCGGCCGCGCCCGGCTCATCAGGACGCCGTGGCGAGAGGCCTGGGCAGGTCCAGGGTCAGACGGGCTCGTTCAAGGCTCCGCTTGGTGGCCCTGTTCTGGGGCAGATTCTTGGCGCTTGGGTTTCTCTGACCATAAAATACCCGCGGACACGGTCATCGCTGCGGTTTGACCAGGTGTGTCGCTGGGCCGCGGGGTGTCCCGTGCCGAGTGGGTCGTCAGTGGTGGCAATGGTTAGGCTCACTCGAGGTCATAAAAGAAGAAAACAACACGTCTTTCCATCTTACAGACGAGGGAGCTGGCCGAAGGAGGCCGCTGGCCTGCGGTCACAGCTGATCCCTGGGCTCAGTGACCGTGGGATACACTGTGCCTTCTTCTCTCCTTCTCCCAGGATGAATAAGGCCCCCACTGTGGGGTTCGAGGCCGACGTGGGGAGCAAGACCACCCACCATCTCATGTACCCCGAGAGCTTCAGGGAGCTGGAAGAGAACGTCAACATGGTCCTGGTCCCCTTTAAGACCCTTGACCTGGAGTGGGTGGTCAGCGCCACCACCACGGGCACCATCTCCCAGTAAGTTCCCTCGGGGCGTCTGGATGGGGAGTCGGCTCCTCCCCACTGTTGGTGCCTCCTGGCCCCAGCAGGCTGTGCCCTACACCGCCGCCTGGCTCATGCTGTCCCTCTCCCGGGAACGCCTCCCTCTGCACACTTCCTCCTGGGATGCACCAGCCCCATGGCCGACGGGCCCCTCCGACTCTCCGCTCCCCTCACCCCCGTGACCCCCAAGTGGACCCCCGTGGTGTTCTTCCGGAGACCCTGGGACTCCTGGGGAGGGGCTGCTGGCAGGGTTCAGTGCATCTTAGTCCCGACCCCTTATCTCTGCGGTGCTGATGGTGACAGCCACTTGCTTCTCAAACTGAGAACAGCCCTGGATGGGGCGCAGGGGGGCAGGAAGATGGGGTACCGAGCACGCTGCCTTGAGACCGGGGGCTCACACCTGCCGGACACCACGCGTGCCCGGACACGTGCTGTCTGACCGAACCGGCAGTCATTATCCTGCCTCCCTTCTGCCAGGGAGGACCCTGAGGCTCGGCGGGCACGGCGCCCGCGGCTGACTCCGCCGCCAGCTCGCACCTGGCCCCCTGCCTGAGCCCACTTCCCAAAGAGAAGCGGCTCGATGCCCAGGCCAGAGCCTCCGTGCGCGAGGCCTAGAGAGGACCGGCTGCAGGACGCGGGAGGGGGGCGCCGAGCTGCCGGCATCAGGGCAGAGGGGAGCGGGATCGGGCCGGAGAAATTCCGCCTGGGCCGTGGCTTCCGGAGCGTAAGTTGCACCAGAGTTGGATCCAGAGGGAAGCCAGGTGACCTTTATCTTGGAGGTGCCTAGACCCCTGCAGATGAAAGGGAGGCATGTGGGGCTCATCAGCCAGCACCCCCACAGTGGGGTAGGTGCTCTGGCCTCCACATGCTCCTCCAGGCTGTGTGGGCGCTTGGAGCAAGTCCTCGAGTGAGCCAAGACTGCCCTCTGGTGTCCACAGTGGGCCACTGCAGGGCCGTGCAAGGAGGTGGTGTCCCTGAGGTGTGTGTACGCCTGCTCAGCCTGCCCTGCGCCCTCAGTCACCCCCGAGCCGCCTGCAGGTGGCCCGGCCCCCTCCCACATTGACCATCTGCTCTTTCTCCCCCAGCACCTACATTCCTGTCCCTTCGAAGATCAAAGTGAAGAAGGATCAGGTGAGTGGCTGCTCAGGCCCCTTGCCCTGAGCCCAGGCTCGTCGGTAAGGCTCTGCCCGACGGTAGCGAGCCCGTCTCCTCTGCCAGCCTCTGGCCTCAGGGAGCCCCTGGGCGCTGGGCTGGTGCAGGTCCCTGCTGGAGGGACCGACGCTGCGGAACTTTCCCGGCGTGGGGACCCCGGACCAGCAGCATCACCTGGGAGACTGTCACGGATGCAGACCCTCAGGCCCAGCCCAGACCTACCTGGGTCTTTAGAAGGCCTCCAGGGGTGCCGATGAGGCTGCAGTTTGGGAACTAGGGTGTGAGCTTCTCCGAGCCAGACCTCACTTGTGTCTCCATCTGTGCCTGGTGTGGGTTGGCCAGGGCCTGGCAGAGGGCAGGAGTGAAGGAGGGCAGTGGCCACCACATCAGCCCTTTGCACGTGCTATTTCCATGGGGAGGTCGGGGTCAGCGAGGTCAGGCAGCGCGCCCGGGCACCCACAGCTGGTCGTGATCACGCTGGAGCTGAAGTGCTCCCTGCCTGCAGCACCTGCCGGCCATGTGGGGCCGTACTGCCGGGGGGAGACCGTGTGGCCCCGCTCGGCCGGCTGGGGGCTTGAGACCAGGCTGAGAGCTGAAGAGGTCACCGGAGACGGGTGTGGTGCCTATGCAGACCTCTCTGGGCGGGGGTGGGTGCTGCCTCCCAGGTCCCCTCACTGTCCTCAAGGCTGCCCTGGGCAGTGGGACCCAGGCCACACCCGATACTAGGATGCCCCCCGCTCAGCTACCGCTGGCTATGTGGCATTGAGCACGTCACTAAGCCTCTCTGAGCCTCGGTTTCCTCATCTGCAACAGGAGAAGAGGCAAAGCCAGTATGTGGGGTCATTTTAGAGACTGGAGACCCTCAGGCCCAGACCAGGTGGTCCGGGAGGCTCTGTGCATGGGTGTTTCTGCAGTGTGACAGGTGTGTCCTTGTCACTGTCTCACCAGGCCCGGGCCTCATTGGATTGCTCTGTCTCTTCCCACTAGAATGCAACCCCCTCGAGCCGGGGTGTCCATTCCTGTCCCGTCTGTCCTCTGTCGCCACAGCACGTGCGACCCCCGAGGGTGGTGGCATCCCTCCTCAGACGTCTCTCTGAGGCCGTGTGCTCTCCCCACAGATCCTGATCTATCATCCGGCCTTCATCAAGTACGTCTTCGACCGGTGGCTGCAGGGCCACGGGCGGTACCCGTCCACCGGCATCCTCTCGGTCATCTTCTCCCTGCACGTCTGTGACGAGGTACGCCCCTCCCCTCGGCCCGCCCGCCAGCGCTGGGCCAGGCTGACCCTGATCCCGACCCCAGGCCGTGTGCCTGGCCGCGCCTCTCATGGATGGTCTCTGAGAACGTACCCAGAGCCAGTTCTGGCTCCTCCTCAGCTGCGGGCTGCGGGGCAGAAGCCAGGTTTGGGGCAGAGCCAAGGAGCAGACTCCAGGAGACCCCTGTAAGGCCGCTCTTCTGACCTCGGAGCTGAATCCCTGCACCCCGGCCACTCCCACCAGAATTCTAGAGTGGGAACCAGGCACCCAGGGGTTCCACTGTCTCCAAGATTGACAATCATAGCTCTTGGGAAGCCTGCGTTCCCCATCATGGACTTTCCTTGACACCCACCAGGTGGCGCCAGGTCTCCATCGATGATCAGGGCTCCCACCCTGGGCAGAGGAGCAGGAGGGGGCCACAGCGCCCCCTCTCTCTCCCTGGCCCTGGGTTCAGGCAGGACACTGAGATGTCCCTTTCTGTCACATACAGGCTGTCCCACCTCCCTGCCTGCCTGGCTCATGGTTGGAAATCCCAGGGAGGGGTGAGGTGTTGCCAGGCCTGCCCACCATGGCTGCCTCTCTCTTTAGCCAGAACCCTGGGTGTCCCTCCCAGAAGCCACATCTCCTCCGCCTTCCACCCCCACCACCTCCAGCCAGCTGGTTGCAGACCCTGTGGGGCTCTGCCTCAGAAATGCCCCTCCATCTCTTCCCTCCTGCTCGGAGCCGGCCAATGGCCCCATTGGCATTGACGGCAGAACTGCCCCTGCCCCAGTCTGGCCCCACCCCTCGAAGCAGTCATCCTGTAGCCCCGAAAGCGTTTCTCCCCCTGGGAGCCCCTCCCCACATCCCTGACCATCCTCTGCTCATTTTCCAAGACCCAACTCCAATGTCACCTGCTCAGACCAGCTCTCTCTGGCCCCTCCACCATCCGCCCCTCCCTCCTCTCCACCATCGGCCCCTCCCTCCTCTCCATCATCGGCCCCTCCCCCTCTCCATCACCGGCCCCTCCCCCCTCTCCACCATCGGCCCCTCCCTCCTCTCCACCATCGGCCCCTCCCTCCTCTCCATCATCGGCCCCTCCCCCCTCTCCACCATCGGCCCCTCCCTCCTCTCTGTCGTCGGCCCTCCCTCCTCTGTGCTGTCAGGGCCCTGACGGTAGTCCTGTCCCTCATGGGCCACTCAGCTGCTGCTTGGAAGTGCCAAGAGCTGAGGCCTGACTCCTGCACCCCTAATTCCCAGCACACCCCTAATTCCCAGCACCCCCGGGTGGACCTGGTGAAGGCTGCCTGAACTCGGCTGTAGTTAGTGCAGTGCTTGGCTCAGAATGAGCGCTCAGTACGCATCGGCCACGTGTAAGAAAGGCCCTGCCCGCTCCTGGACCAGATGGGTCTCATCAGCCTACGAGGAGGGAGGACCACCTGCCTCACTGTGGCTGTTACTCTGGACCCTGTTTCCCGGATGAGGAGAATGAGGCTCAGGAAAGAGATGTGGCACTTTTGGGGTTCTCCAGGGAGTGGCAAAGCTGGGGTCGGGAGCAGCCTGGTCCCCACTCTGCTGTGCTCCTCTTCCCCAGCTCCTCCATCCCCAGAGGTGAGACCCTGCACCCTCAGGGCCACCACATGCAGTAGCCTCCCACTGTGCCTTTTGACACTGAACTTGACTTTTACTTAACTCGCTTTTGTGACACCGAGCCCCGGGAGTTCCAGGAACCTGGGGGGGATGTCTGTGGTCCTTGGCGATGTCTCCGCAGGTCCGGGACACCCGCAGGCTTCCAGCCTGCCTGCAGCCCTCCCCTTTGCTTGGCCCCCACAGGTGGACTTGTACGGCTTTGGGGCAGACAGCAAAGGAAATTGGCACCATTACTGGGAGAACAACCCGTCGGCGGGGGCTTTCCGCAAGACCGGGGTGCACGACGGAGACTTTGAGTTCAACCTGACGACCACCTTGGCGTCCGTCCACAAACTGCGGATCTTCACGGGGAGATGACGCTGTGAGGAGCTGGGACGGACACGCCTCTCGCCCGGCTTCTCGCCGAGGCCGCTCCATTCTGTGCCGGGGCCTCCACCCCGCCTCGGGTGTGCCCAGGTGCCCCTCGCAGCCTCGCACCCCAACATTTGACAGCATCTACTCAGCAAGTCTCAGAACCGGCTTGGGTGGGGAGACCCCTCCCTGCTGACCCGGAGCTGGGAAAAGGGGGGAATCTTGGAGCAAGTCCCTTCTCTGAACACGGCTTCAGAAGATAGGGGCACAGAGACTGAAGACTCCCCTGTTTTAAAAGAAAGAACAGTCTCCTCCCCGGGAAGCCAGGTGGAGACTTCTCTCTGCCGAGGGGTCCAGGGCGGACTCCCAGCCTCTGGTTTTCACTGGGATGCTTCTGAGTGAGGATGGCCCCCAAGACAGAGCCTCGTGGCCACATCGGCCCTGGGGCGAGATGACACATTACTTGCACGTGACACCCCAATTCCCCTTGGTTCCCCAAACTCATTTTGGTGGCTAGGAGAGACCTCCCACCCCGAAGGTCTTCATCCTTGGCCAGGTGTTTCTGACCCCAGCAGCCGTCTACCTTCTGAGACAATGTCTTCGAGTGATCAGTCTTTGTTGTTAGGATTTGGCGGAGAGCAGACCTGACTACTTCCACGTGCCTTTGTATTTGGGGGTGAAATGCGAGCACTGGCTAGAATGAGGCGAACACCCCGAGTCCGGAGAGAAGACCCTGGCAGCTGCCCTCCCTGCTCCTAGCTGGGGACATCTTTTCCAGTGTCCTGAGCCAGCGCGAGTCGGAACAAAGCTCGCGGGGTGCCCGGTGCCTCCCCGGTGCACATCAGCATGGAACAGCGAGACTGACGGGCTTGGTTCCCGCAGCCCGCCGAGAGGCTCTCTCCCACCAGCGTTTCCGAGGGCCCGCGCTCTGGCCCATTCCTGCTGCACCTGCATGGTGTCCGGGGGCTGGGGGCCACGGGAGGCGCGTGACCGTCGGAGTCGGGGACGTCATACCTCATCCTCGAACACTTTTTCCCTCATCAATCTTCTGATTATTTATTGATTTTGCTGTTGCACTCAGCTGATGTCATGTCCCTTTCTGGCTCTGCTGCTGGTCCTGGGTTTTAATTGAGGTTTCACCTGCCCCCCTGGCCAGTGGGGAGTGGGGAGCTCACAGCATGCTCTGTGGGAGCCCTCAGGCTCTAGTGGTGGTGGTGCCCAGGTTTTGGGGGCTAGCTGGTGGGCAAATCTTTGGGTGGTGGGTTTGTGAAATGTCCTGTGCCTCCTCCTCTCCCAGCCCCACCTTCCTTGTGAACCTGGATTCAGCCACAGGCTAGGACTCTCCAAACCCTAGTGGAGCCCCTGGGGGCCGGCTGGGAAGTGGGGTGCAGGCAGAGGACAGTGGTCGTTGGCCCCCGTCACTGACATTTGAGCAGAAAAACCACGTTTCCTGTCGAGAGCATTTCCTCAAAGGCCACTCTGAGGAGGTGTGACGAGTTCCTTCCTGGGGCGGGGACAGGACGCCGTCTGGGGGGCCAGGGGACCGGACGGGATGCTTGTGCAGCACCCTGGCCAGCCCTGCTCTCCTGGCCTCCGCTGTTCCCTCTGCAAATGGGGAGGGAGAGCCTGGGGGGCGCAGGAGCCACAGAGGTGTCAGCAGTGCGTGAGAGTCCCCAGAAATCACGCCCGTCCCCCCGGTCTGTGCAGCCCCATGGCTCTATTCAGTCCTCAAAGATGCAGAACCCAGAACGCGTGTGAAAGACGCACAGGCCTGTCCCAGCTTCAGAGCCCCCCGCACGTAGGCTCCACATAAAGGCTCGTGTGTCCCTGTGAGTTCGTCGTCGCGGCCCGAGCTCACGGCCGCACCTCACGGGAGATGGAGGGACCGAGCAAGTGTCCGGGGGCCGGCTGATCAATCCCAGGGACAGACCTTAAGACAAGTGGTCACGGGACCTCATAGCCCCTGAGCTGCCTCCCCTTCTGCCCCCCGCGTCTGTCCAGGCACATCACGTTCAGAACAAGTGACCTGCTTCTTTGGGCTTTGCTGAGTCAGAGCAGGTCCCCAGAGGGAGGACCTGTCCCTAGCTGAGCTGCACGCTGCCTGGGTCAGCTACCTGGTCCCATCCCATCTCCCTCCGTCCCGCCAGGCTGTTCAAGCTGTGAGTCCTTGTTGCCCTGGGATCTGGTCCCACGGAGCAGATGAGGAAACAAGGCCCAGAGAAGGCACGCGACTTGCAAAAGAACTGATTTGTGCCAGAGGGCGCAGCCCGGACACTTTGAGCAGGAACAGGACAGGATGCACCCCATGTTGGGAGCATCCAGAGGCGGGGTCCCCAGCCTGGCCCGTCGGTGTCTCGGGGCACTCTCCGGGGTGCGGCTGCTCCTCGGGCTGCCCACGGGCTCTGGCAGGTGTAGCCCTCACCTCGGTGCCATCCCTCCAGTGGTGGGGCCAGCCCCAGCCCGGCAGACCTCCCTGCATCTTATCGGCTTAGCAGAGGGGACTTAACCAAATAAACATCAATCCGTGTGGCCGGGATTGAACGCCCTGCCGAGCTAAAGCCCCTGGGTCCCACGTGGTGGCTCAGAGGGTCACGCCAGTGTTTCTCCGAAGGCACTTAGCAGTGTGCTGGGCAGGAGACGGAAGCAGCCACACAGGGAGGCCCTGGCAGGTTCACCACACGCGGTCAGGCTCCCTCGGGCCCCTGGTCCCAGCTCGGGGCTCATTACTCTGCAGGCGGAGAGCTCCTCGAGAGCTCCTCCTCGGGGCGGCTGGGGCGGGTTAGGGGGAGAAACCTGAGGGGGAGAAAGGAAACGGGTGGGGGCCTCTGGGCCCTGGAGCAATCCCCGAGAGCAGAAAGTTCGAGGTGGATGCTCTTGGAGCCCGCGGGCGGGCGGGGCTGCCCGGGGAACCAGATGGAAGGAAGGGGGACTTGCCGCACCAGCTAAGCCCAGTGGGCTCACGCCTCGCTGTGGCCCGAGGGGCAGCCCGAGGCTCCCCGCCTGCCTGGGAGCCGCCCGGGGCGCACAGGACTTAGAAGGGTGGCGGTCGCTGTGGCCGTGCTCGTCCACGCCGCCTGAGCAAGATGAGAAGCAGGAAAGACACCCACCTGCCTCTGTCACTGCCCCTCACCTGCTGTCAGGGAGGCCCAAGCCCGAGTGACCGCTGTCCAGCTCAAGATGGACGCCGGCCACATGCCATGCGGACCAGCACTGTCCTCTCCCTCCAGTGAGCTCGGGGTGTCGTGTCCGTTGTGGACATTTGGGTTGCAGCCGACATGTCTCAGGCCACCAGCAGGTCACCCTCCCCTGGCACCTGGCTGACCAGGATTGAGTTTGTCAGCTTCTCTCCTCTCATTGGCCACAAAAACGCCAGCTCCCTGGCCCCTGGGCTGCTCCGGGACCCCTCTGTGCAAGGCAAAGGGGAGTCTAGGGGGAGCCACAGAGACGGGCGGGCACATCTGTCAGCATCAGGGTTTTAGCTGTTCAGAGTACTGCTTCCTCCAGGCAGCCCACCGGCTTGCCCTCCCACCGGCCCGACGCCTGCTGCCCAGCAGCGGTCACGGTGCAGCTCTGGCCTGTGCCAGGAGCCACCCCACAGTAGGATGTCCCTGCTGCCCGGTCACTGAGCCCCCACTGAATTCACGTCAAAGCCAAAGTTCCCAGCACTTCCCTGTGCCCCGCCGTCTCGCTGGAGTCGGTGGCACCATGGCCGGCTGGCCCACCCGCCCGCCCCGCTGCGCTGTTTGCAGCCGAGCAGTAACCTGGATGCGTTTTGAGTGACGAGTGTCGCCTTCCTCAGCCTCTGCTGTGTTCTATTTATTGTTGAACGTTTCCAATGATCGAATCAAAGTGAATTAAAAGAACTATTTTATCATTTGGGTGGGTGTGTCGTTTTTCTAGGAGGGCCGAGCTCATGCTGCCCCTCAGTTTCCACTCAGGACGTATTTTCGGTCCTAAAAAGACGCAAGGCCTCGCCTCCCCAGGGTTAGTGTGCGCCCCTATTGAGTGCCCAGGGTTGACTGGGGGAGTCAGCTGACCTCTCTGAACCTGCACTGTCTCATCTGCAATGAGGGCCACAGTACCAGCTGTCCGAAGGGGGGCGCGGTCAAGGGGAAAAGCCTCTCGGGCCCACGGGGACTCACGCCAGTGCTCTGCTCAGGTGGAGGGTGTGGCTGGGGTTGGGGTTGATGAATTTAGGGGGACCCCACCTGTGGAGCTGGTGCCTTTGCTCAGCCACTGTCCAGGTGCGGGGAGGGGCGGTGGGTCTGCCAGGAGAGAAGCAGCCGGCGGCGAGGAGATGAGCCTGCAAAGGGGCGGGGTGAAGTGGGGGGCACGGGTGAAGGAGGAGAGCCAGGTGGGAGCTGGTGGATGGGGGCACAGCAGAGCGGGACACGGGTCCTGTGGATGTCAGACACGGGACACTTACAGAAGCTGCACTGAGCTGGAAAGCTGTGGGCACAAGGTGTCTGAATCAGTGGCCTTCAAGATGGGGTTGATCCAGGTGATGGAGAGGAGGCGGAGGGAGGAAGTGGGGTGAGTAGACACTCAGGGTCCAGGAGGGCTGGTGCTGTATGTGAGCGCCACAGCGACACTAAAGTCGCCAGGACAAGGGCACAAAGTGGTTGTAAACACACTTCTCCGATGTACAAAGTCTGCCGGGAAAGAGGGCAGCGAGGTGCTGGGTACCCTTGACAGGAAAAGGCTAAGAGCTATAGGCAGACGGAGTGTGCAGCCAAGAAAAAGGGGGGGAGGGGTCCGGAAACATCAGTGGGTGCCCATAGAGACACGTCCTCACCCCACACATGGCGGCTGGGCTTGGAACCAGAACCGCCCCAGGGGAACCGCCCCAGGGGAACCGCCCCAGGGACATCTCAGCGGTCAGGACAGGGAGTCCGCGTCTGCAGGGCCAGGAGCCCCGGGGTGCCACACAGCGAGCACAAAGAAGACCTTGAGCAAAGGGTCGTGGTTGCTATCAATCCATTCAGAACATCCTTTCCGAAGCCTGGAAGGGGGCTCGTGCAGAACCTGCAGCTACAGGTGTGGCATGCCCCAAAGGCACCATCAGTGTCCAGGTTCGGCTTTCTGTGGCCCCGACACATTCCTGGCGCTTTGTCCCAAACAGGGACGTACAGCTGCAGGTTCGTAGTCTGGCTGGGTCCCGGGCACCCGCAGGTCCTGGGAGTCAGAGCCCTGGATCGGACGGACCTTCTCTGTGAAGAGGGAGTGATGATTCCTGGCTTGTCTGCCTCATGGGATTACGTGAAAACCCACACACTGTATCTATACATACATTTAACCCGACAAACATTTACCGCAGCCGCCAGGGCTGAGGATGCTGGCGAGCCAAGCTCTCTCCGTCGGAGGGTCACAGACTGACCGAGGGGGCCACCAGCCGATGGCAAGGCCATGGAAAGCAGGAGATGGTCAGGCATGACCGTGGTTCCCTTTCGCACGCCGTCCATTTGGACTAAGTGTGTTGCCTCCGTTACGCTCACTTAATCCTGCAACAGTTCTGGCAAGAGACCTTACTCCTGCGCAGGGGAGGTGGTGGAGACGCTGGGCCTCCAGGAGGTGGGAGAACTCGCTAGGGAGGAAAGGGTGCGGCCACAACTCCCAAAGCAAGGCGCCGCCCTGGCGGGTTTGGCTCAGCGGTTGGAGCGTCCGCCTGCGGTCCGGAGAGACCCGGGTTCGGTTCCCGCTAAGGACATGTACCTCGGTTGCAGTTTGTCCCCGGCCCTGGTTGGTCGTGTGGGTGGCAGCCACTCGATGTGTCCCTTTCACATCGATGTTTCTCTCTCTCTCTTCCTCTCTCTCCCTCCCGCTCTATCTGAACAAAAAGTGGAAAAATGTCCTCGGGTGAGGATAAAAAAAAATTAAAAAAACAAAACAAAAAAAAACAAAAGCAAGGCGCCGAGTTCAGGAGCGCTGCGTAAGAACTGTGAACCTTTCCCCGCGAGAGCGTGGGGGCACTGGATTCTCAGCTTTGCCCCAAACCCGAGCACAAACAAACCCACCGGCTCTTTCCTCGTGGTGGAGCCCAGAGCTGCCAAAATGTTCCTTCTGACCTTGACCAAGTGCGCAGACCAGATGCCTACTGAGGGTGGCCACCAGAGGGCGCAGTGGCCCCACCGTCAGCCAGTTCTTTTTCTTCCCAGCTCAGGGTTTGGTGGGGACCCAGAAAGGGTTTGAAAACCACGTGAGAAAACACACTCACCCAGGTACAAGGTCAGAACTTTAAAAAGCTTGGCGTTAGGTATTATCAAGTCCCACACCCTCCAGATAAGGAGACGGAGACACCTGCTGCTGGGCCAAGAAAACGGTCAAGAGGAAAAGTCTGAGCCCAGTGGGAAAAGGTGAGAACCCCAGGCAAGTGGCCTGGCTGAGGGGCTCTGCAAGGTGTCATGTTGCCACACAGCACAGCTGGCCCCAGACCGCGGCATTTCTCTGGCCTCCCGCCCCACCCCTTCTCCGCAACTCCTTTACTTCGTAGCCTATAGGGCAAACCTAACCTCTTGGAACCTTAGTTGCTGAATCTGTAAAATGGGTATTGGATTCCTTTCTGTGCAGGCATCCATAATGCATTCTCTCCCTGAACTTTCACAGCAGCCCGTGGATGAGATGGTGTCCGTTATCCTGGAAAACCCGAGACTCAGAAGCTGTCAGGCACTTGCCTGTGGCTGCATACTCGGTAGGGATCAGGAGGGCTAAAGACCAGACCTGATCCCAGCAGTCAGGATGGGACAGGCCACAGCTGCAGTAACAAGTAAGCCCCCCCACCCCAGTGACTTAGAGACGAAAAGGCTTATCTCTTGCGGTGGCAGAGCTGATGGGTTCTCCTATGAGGTCCTTCCATGTGGTGACTCGGGCTTCCCGGCCCTTCCCATCTTGCAAGAAGGCCAACTTCAGCTTCAGCACGTGGCCTTGGAGCTCACCGAGCAGGGGAAGTGGGGTGATGCCCTTAACTCTCCATCTGGAGTCAACACGCATCACCTCCACTCAGGTGGCCAGACCTACCCACGTGGTCCACACATAACTACAAGGGGTGCTGGGGAGTGTCAGAGCCCCTGGGATGGTCGGGGTGCACTACCTCTACCCAGACCTTTTCTTTCTTTTATTTTAAAAATTTTTTTATTGATTTTTAGAGAGAGGGGGAGGGAGAGGGAGTGAGAGCGAAACATCGATGTGACAGTGAAACATTGATTGGCTGCCTCCTACATGCCCCTACCAGGGATTGAACTGGCGACCTTTCTGGTACACAGGACAATGCCCCGCCAACTGAGCCACACTGGCCAGGGCCCCCTGTCTTTTCTTGATGTCACAGACCCAGACCCTGGCCTGGGGGCTGGCCGGTGAGAGGCCCACTGGCCCTGCGCTGCCAGTCCTGAGAGGTCCTGGGCAGACCCGGGCCGTGGCTCAGTGAGACGCAGCAGACCAGGACCGACCCTCGGGAGGGACCCAGAGATGGAGCGGGGTGGAATCAGGGCTGTTTTGCCTCAGCCTGTCACTGCTTTCTACACCTGCAGGGCTGTCGAGCGACAAAGAGCGTGGTGTGTCCCGGGTGGCTGATCTCGTCACCTTTGTCTGGCGCCCTCTGCGCAAGCCCCTTCTTCCCGGGCAGACTCTGCAGTCTCCTGGGGGAGGGAGCTCTGTCCTGGGAGCTGCCCGAGCAAAGGCTGGACCACTGCTTTGGGGAGACGCTAGGGAGGAACTTGGGCGTCAGGGAAGACGCCATGGGAAAGGGTGGATCCTGCCTCGAATCCAGCCACGCTCCTTCCAGCAGGGCTGCCACCTGCTGGCCTCCGGAGCCTGTCGTTCCCAGTCCCCTCTGGACGACTTGGACGACGGCTCCATCCTGAGCCAGAGTGCCCGGCGGCCCGCACAGCAGGCCTGGGAGCTGGGGCCTGGGGCCTGGGCTCCGCGCTGCCCAGCTCTCCAGACAGCCCCATGTCAGGGTTCAGGGGGGCTGCGTCTCCCAGCTGGGTGCTGGGT